ATTTGTACATGCAGGACGCTCTAATTAGACAAAACAGATAACGTACAATGGTTAGTTATCATGAAGATCTATAGCGTACGCTCGGAAGCCACAAATAAAATCAATCTATACGAGTCTTAAAAACGATCTACCTTGAACGTACGTCGGAACACACAATATTAGAACCTAGTCACATTTTAATGGTTAGTTCGATACGGGTGGCCGACTATAAATCCAAAATGGAGTAGTATAAACAAAATAAATTTAGCAATACCTCAAAGGATTCAGGCTGTTATAAACATCGAGGGCTTCTGAGGCTATGGAGGCAGGTTTTCGATAACAGTCGTGAATATATATTATAATCTAGCCCCGTAAACGAGGTACTCTACACCACAAGGACGATTTAACTTAAGAGAAAAAAGGAAACAAATAAGTTAGTTACCTGTTTATATTACTTCGCTTATTTTATGGTTCCTGTACGCTTAGAACTGACGGTCAGAACAGAAACAAGGCCAAATGTCAACACTGGTTGCCTCCAAACCTCTGTATGGGCCATATGTAGGTCTCGATGGCATAATTAGGTATAATTATTATTACTTTTTTCAGTATATTAACTATTGTGATATCGCATTATAAGTAAAGGTGAAGCCTTTTTTATAGAGAGAATTGGAGTTACATGAGGAAAGCTATGAAGCGATATAATTAATGCTCATTATAGAAAATTTGAGTATTATAAGTAGAAGTGTTAAAAGGTAAAACAACCAACGTTGCCCGAAAAGACTGCTTCCGGTAATCCTTGAAGCTACGAGTTGTTTTCATTTTAACAGGTATCTATAATATTAAATCTCTCACATGCCATGAACATTTTCTCATTTGTTCGACAACAGCGCGTCCGCCATGCAGTGACTAAGTGTTGCTTGACGTGCCTCAAGCGCAATAACTTGAACAAAAAACATCATCAATTCCGACTTTCCTCTCAGGAAAGCTGAAACAGATAGATCAACCATATAGATTGACACACTACGAGCCAAGATCCATTTTACCGTCTAAGAGACAAACATACAACTAAGTCACTTTGAAACGTATTTTCTAGTCCTAGTGGCATCCTGCCTGTGTCTTCAAAAATAGGGATCGTTTCAAATTGAAGATGACCGGTTGACCCATATGAGATTTAATGACGCATTACATCTCTAGCCAGCCATAATTGATGTTGAACTGAGATTACGTTTGACTGAAACTTTTAAATGAATTTAATTATCAGTAGCTAGGCTGGTTATCGTCAGTTCACAAGCTCAATGTTTTGTAGACATGAGCCATCTCCAATTCAAGCCGAGGCGTTAGCAGCTAAAGAAGCCATTGTAGTAAGTGTTTGTCAAGCAGTAAGCAGCGATACAATATCTGAAATTGAAAAGTGTTGTCTGGTTGTCGTTGCCGAGAGAAAAAAAAACCCATTTAACATACCTATAGGTACAGTGAGGTAATCTAAGCCTAATTTAGGTAGTAGCCAAAGGTCGAATGTTACTAAAATGTAAACTTCTCAACAACTCTAGATAAATTTTTCTGCTGAGGCAGTAGGAATGTCAGCAATTTGCCTTTGTGTCTATAGTAGTAACCTATCTATGTCGTAGTTTCCTTACGGTCCGTCACTAAATTTAATTACTTCAACGGTCCGAGCTATGGGCGGCGCGGCCGTAATACTTTATAGGGTATGTAACGGAATGGTTATTGCTTGCTTATTCTTTCATTGATTTCCTTGCTTTAGGACACCGCTTTCTCGCCAACGTTCTTTATCTCCATCGTTGAAGGCATTGCTGTTAGGAGAAGTAATGCAAGAACTAACCATGTGTGGCCTCGGTTTTACGACACGTATTCGTAAGGCATCAGAACTACTCAGGTTAACCGTTCTCATCTCCTCGCACCACAACGCTTGAAATTTTCAGATCGCTTAGAGGCGATCTCGAGGTTGACCAAATGGCATTAGTACGTGACTGCTGAACCCAGTTTAAAAGCGCGACATTTTTATATTTGCCTTAGCTTGCATACAAATCTCTACATAAAAAAAAAAACTAATTGCTATAGCAGTTCGTATACTCGAAATAGAATTGTTGTTTACTGTGTTGGGACTGTAAATATGTAACTTGCATAAATAACGCATGTTTTGTCATAAACCAAGAAAGTTAGTGGAAAAATGACCACGTTTAAGTATTTTAACTTTAACAGGAAAAATATTATGCTAGACTCTATATATATACATACACATATGGACAATTTGGTGAGTAATAGTATATATCTAATGACCGAAATTGTGCCCATGTTTAGTCGTGCCATACAAGTTTAATGGAAAATCGATTGACTCATTAGCTGGTAAGGCCGTCACAGCATATCTCACGGCTTTCACAACATTGTGGAACTTGCAAATTTAGTTGTATCCCCTTAAGTTTAGACGTTTCTAACATACAAACATTTCTTAAAGAGTTTCGCATGCATTCCACTTCGTCCCGTCATGAGGTCACGTGGCTTCTAGCCAATCTGTGTTTGGTCCTATGCTCTTCTGAAGTCATGCCCTAAGTGATTCTCCTTGTATCGTCTAATTAGCTTGAATCTTCTCTCTTTCCTTTACTATGTCACTTAACTGATCCTTAAATGCATCCTCCACTCAGATCTACGGCATGGTCATCAATCATATGATCCGATGCCACGTATATCTGACCAGGAGGATCAAGCTGTCATGGAACGTTGGACAGGCATGAAACGTGCCATATCGATGATGTCCGTCAAGGACCTCAGCAACCTCATCGCTTATCATATACTAAAGCGTAAGAAAACGGACGATGGTTGTGTGTTCTTTCACCGAAGCAAACATTGCTTTTCGCCAAATTACCTGTTAAAAGCGCGGAGCGGCGTCCTGTCTCTGCTTTGAAAGCGCTTGACGAGAAAGTAGGATCTATCAATGAAATGGAACAAGATAATACAAAGCATTAATCATATTGCCGTTCCATTTACTAAACGCGTTAGCTTTCCCTATACATATAATTGACTAGAAATGCAACAGTACCGCTACATTGACACTCAACCATTGAGTTTGATTATTGCTTTCGTCGCATTTGTTTTTTTCGATATTTTCTCCGTGTCAATGAGTGTAAGCTCCAATTTTTTTGCCTCGCCCTCAACTAGATGACCTGCAAAAGGATATCAGAGGTAGTCATGTGGCCGTAGCCGATGTACTAGCAGATGCAAGAAGACCCACAACGTCTATCCTACGAAGACCAACAGCACTGATGATCGTCCAAAGCAGAATCAGGAGCAGTACTTAGGACCTGGCGGTGAAATTGTAGACGATTCGTTCGTATACCGAAGCCTTCTAATATAGCCAGGGTTGAGCCAGTCGAAATGAAATCAAGCTTGCTTTACGCTCCGACTCAGCAACTGTATTTGTTTCCTTACGTCTTCTTCATTGTGTGGGTATTTTACTTCTCTTCAAGGTTTTGTAGTTGACCAATAGGGTAAACTTGTATGGTGGCCCATCTAATGCTATTTTCACAAAAACGAAAGGGCGTCATCTTTCTGGGATGAAAAGTTCCCAGCACTGGCTTTGCATGATCACATTTACCAAAGATATGCTTAGAAGAACATCTACGTACTATTCGTCACCGGAAAGATTCGTCTATTTTGGCCAAACGCAATTTTTTAGTCTTTAATAGGTGGTTTTAGTCTTTAGTAGGTGGTGTGATTGAACTAGGCATGGGCTTATGAACGATGCGGTAAGAATGAGATCTGGAGCTTCTGGTTAGGTGCAATGACGCCTTGCTCAGTTTATTATTGCGCACCGTTTAGGTCAGTTGAAAAAGGCTTTAAAATTGCTTGATTTATTAGGATACACACGAAGAAGAAAAACGTGTCCAGGTAGGGCCTACAAGCTTACGACAACGCTAAATTGCTTTATTATTCCTGATTGATTTTACTGGTCTAATAATAATTAATAACGATATATCGTTGTGATATTGAAAACGAACACACGAGGTTATCTACGACGATTTAAATGCTATATCTGTTTCGATATACTTATTTTGCTCGCTCTTTGGTAGCTCATCCTTGTATTATGTTTGTTGGCATCAGGAAAAGCAATATTAGAAGCTATCGTGCGTACCGAAAGGGTTAGCCATTCTTTCTCAAGCTTAATTATAAGAAACGAAGTAGATGTAGATAAACTACGTAAAACAACCAACCGGTAAGTAAAGCCTAGTTCGCTTATAAAAGATAGGTTAGGCAGGCTCTAAGGGGTCCGAGTCGACATCAAGGTCCATGTGTGCTCTAGAAGGCGCCTTATATAAACCATATTAGAGCATTTTCGTTATATCATTCAACAGCTATGAAGAAATACTATAGAGAGGCGTTGACAAGATCGCGTAAATGCGTCAGCAGGCACGATTTGGATAAAATAACTAGTGCTTTTTGAAACATAGCAATTTACCGACCCAAACAAGCTATGAACTATAACCTTGTCTAGTGAACATTCGGTGATATTATCTTCTGGACCCAGTTAGGCCATTGTAACCGGTTTCTGTAAAAAAAATGTGAATGCTGATAGGAAAACGATTCAAGTTACTGGAAAAAGAGACTCAATAAACACTGTTCACAGAGATTCATGTGACACGGTTGGATCGACAATACACATATAGGTTTCAGACACATGTATGTAATCAGTATATGTTTTAGTAGAAACAGGGCGGCTTAAGTTCACTGTTTTAGGAAACGGCTTCTTGAGAACAACGGATTTGAATCGACATTGAAGTTCTCTAGCGTAATTGCGCGCATTTGCAATTACTGCACCACAGGAGCAGACCAGCTTAGATTCTATGTTTGGCTCGTTTGCGCGGATCACTCCTACTTTGCGTAAATGTCACTCAGATCACAAAAATGACATCCCCCATCCTGTAGCTAGCCTACTCATCACCAGCGACGAGCTATCTGATCCGGTAGGCGGAGCCTACGCACCCCCGACAGGTCTGAGGTGCCTCCGGCGCTCTACAGTGCTAGGAAGGCGGAGCATCGATTTGCAGTTGCTATTACCACCACCCTTACTAATGGTGAAAAAAGTACGCCGAGGATCATCATGGCAATTTGTGCATCTTAGAAGTTAACTTATCGAGGTGGCTAAGTTGATCTGAAGGTTGGCTTTGTAAACGAAGCTAAAACTGGATCTAAATTACGCAGAGCTTGCATATACGTCAGTTAATCGAAAACCCCTTTCTGTGAAATGTGCGAACGTAACATGTTTCAGTGATTTTATTGTAGTAAACTGTAAATATGTACTGAATGAACCTAGCAAGCAACAAAACATCAGAGCCGTGAACTTCACCCGATATGGAGCCAATAAAAACCTCAACGACAAAGACAACAGACGGTAATAGCAATGAGGCTACATCAAGAAGACCCGATTACGTGCAGACGATCACAATCACAGGTATGTGAGCTTTAGTATAATAATAATACTTTATATCTGGTCTTAAGATCTACGCATGTTTTTTTAGTGAAAACGCATGCCATTGGTTACACATGCGTAAGCAGACGCACTTACTTTGCTGGTTAGCTATCTATTACATTTAAAGGCTATACTTTACAATTTTTTGAAGAGTCTACACGTATAAAACGAACCAAAACATAGTCATAATCAGAAAACACCTATGTATCTTAGTTTTACATCTATAAGGCCGAATTCTTGGTGCTCTGGTGTATGTAGGAAACGATTTTGATTTTCTGGGACCAATTCGGCCAAAAATCGTAAAATTTATCTCTCTTGACCAATTTCAGATTTATTTGAAAATTACTTCAACGCAGTGCGTTTGGATGCCGACGTATAGAATCGTATATCTGTTTTATAAAAATATCTTGGTCTTGGGTCAACAATAATATAAACACAGTTTGAGTCCCGACTACATCGTAGATCGTACATTAGAGATGAGAAATATACAAAAAACCAAGCAAATTTTTGTGAGCTACATAGGAATAATTAGAAATTGATTTGAAGCCCAAAGGCTTGAGGGCGCAGTGACGGCATAGACAATTATAAGACTATGTACAGGCTGTTGAAGAGATCTATTCGTCAATTGAGAGTACCGAGGCGACTTCACCAGGATCCTATCTGAAATCAAATGTCAAAGTGAATCGACCTGACCCACTCTGCATCAGAACAAAACGTCGGTACTTTATCCCAGAGAAACGAAAATCAGATGAAGTTGCATTTTTATATACTCATACAAACGTTGCTTTTGTGGGAGTTCACGACATGTTTTGTCCCCAAGCTAAAGATCAAAATGAAATTCAGCCGAACTAACCCTGTTGGAGGTCGTATTTTTCGAAAACTTTCGAAGACGTACTCGTACCTGCTAAGACTTCTCATGCAAACACCCTTTGTGTTCGCCGATAGGACTTTCTGTAGTTAGAAATTGAGAAAATCGCTTGCGGACGGATCTCCTAATAAACTTCTCTCTGCCGTATATCAAACAGGTCAAACAAACTACAGAAGTTGCCACGCTTCCACTGCGCAGAGTTGTCTTTCTTTATCTAATTAGAAGCTAAACAGCTTACACAATAGACAGTGTTTCGTTTTTTCTATGAACGTATAATTAAAAATAGCAATTAATATTTTTTCTAATAAAATAGCACAACAAAATAGTTAAAGGTACATTGAGTAGGAGGTATTATGATTCACGTTGCAATTCTGGCAGAACTTGTTTATCTCGATGGCATCCTGTTTACTGACATGGGACCGTACCGAAAACGTAATGCGTCCGTTTATTATTAGTTGTGTACTCGAGTAATATTGTTAAGTTGACTAAAAAACGTCCGAATAGTATGGAGACACAGAATAACACACGATGAAATAGACCGCTTTCGTCTTGGTCGCTTGGCAATATACTTCAATCTTCATTTTTGGGTATTCGTCCAACTAAGCACAATGTCTTCCTTTAAAGACTGAAGCATGTTTTCCACTAACGAATACATTGTTTGAAAAATTACTGATTCAAATATGTCTACGACTTAATTAGAAACGAGCACTTTTATCTGCTATGATGCGGTGTCATAAATCTGAATGAAATTGTCCGTCGGACTTTTCTGGGCGGATAAGAGTCGAGACGATTGTGCCAGAACTAGACAAATCTTACCATGTCAACACTCAAACATCTGTTGGACGGTCTTCTATATATCGCTGTTTTAGCGGAACGAATTTACGGGAAACTATAATCTACTCGCTGGAGATCAACACTCGATTAGGTTTATGCAGCCCCTCCTCCTACTTTATAACCCTATTCTGGGGAATTCACCTAAAGCTAAAGGCCATATACGCCCATATATATATACATATATATTGATTTTGAATGTCTGCCCCTACATATAGTTTCCATTTACACGCACGTAACTTCAATGCGCCTCGTTCAACTTCAATGCGTTTTCGTTCAGTAAATGCTCACCCAATGGAAAATACTTAGACATTCAACTTCGTTTAGGAGATTTATCTGTGGGTGTTGCTTTCGTAGCGAATCTGGGCATTGTGTGCGTATGCTAGCATGCATACGTGTGCACCTCTCTTCGGTTATAATATGACCAATTAAACGCGCGAATCCGTCATGATTCGTTCGCATGAATTCTTGTCGATTGATTCTAGGTAACGAAAAAGATTTCAGGCAATCTTTTTCTTTTTTGTTACATTTCTCCCTGGTTGCGGCTTTCGGTGGCACTCGGTACCAAATCAGTCGTATACCGTCTTTAAACAGGTTCGGCCATTTTTTTCGCATTACGAAGCCATCTAGCTTATTCCTTGAAAAGTTGCATTTAAGTTGGTTAAAACTTGAAACCAGCTTTCAACTTTAATAGAGACGAAGGAGGCGGCGAGAATGCCGTGACGTGTACCCAACAACACACTGAGCTACTTCAGCTTACATATGAATAACATTGCTTAGTTTAAATCATCTACGATCCATAGTGCATAGCTTTTTAAGGGGTTTGTAGAAAAGTTAAGATTGTTTTACCTAAGAGAGATGACAACTCGAGCGAGGAACTTTGCTGCGGTGTAAGAGCATATCCTTATCTCTCAACTCTGAGAATGCACCGTACTAAAGGTTAAGTGAGGCAAGAACGTTGCTCGCACCCAATGCATGCGAAGTTGAAGACAACGAGTCCGCTCAGATGACAGCGACCTCATTCGCGCTTTTTCGTGTAACAACCGTTCGTCAACGAAATTGGCTTCTCAGCAACACTTCATCACTCGTGCCTATTGTTCATCGAGGTCGCTAGTGAAGCAGGGTCACTAGCCTGCAGTAGAATCCACTCAGCGTCACTGTCATCACATCGACAAATCAACAAAAGCGAACGCAGACAGACACAAATGCCTGCTCATAAACTCTCTCAAGTTGTCAATGTCCATTGTGATGTATGGCATTATAGGAGACGTTAGAGACACGAGACGCTACAATGATGTAGAAAGCACAGGACATGTACTCACGTCTTCATCTACTTCATCTTGGCCTAAAGTGTAGGCAATGCGCCCTGGGTTAGAAGATTTTGAATTTTGCAAAACGTACCTAGTTTAGCATATGGACATTGTTGCGGTTATGATTTGTACTCTTATATCGAATAGTTTAGGCCGAATGACAGCGACACTTATTGCTCCATAGAGTGCAGCTCGTAAGCTATGTATAGAGTAAAGACAGATTTCCATATAGCCGACGCGTATACGCGAAAAAATCGAAATATATCTGAAGGTCATAGAATCGTTGATAAACAGTATGTTGTTTTTGAATTTTCTAGCTATCCAAATCAGAGAAGACTAAATAGTTGGCCTGGTAGCTCGTAAAACTTCATATTGCCAGTTCCAGTTAGAAAGGGTCATTTGGATTTTCATTCAAACATCTACTATAACAACAACTTTGCCTAGGTATCAAAAGAATGATTCAAAAATGCCTATTGTTATATTACGTATGTATATTTACGTCTCTGTCAGGCCCAAAGGAAGCAGCTACTCTATCAAACAACTTTCACTTATACAACAGCTTTAATAGGTATGAGCCAACCAATTAAAATTGTTAATAATGTCAATGTCCGCGCTCGCCTCACCATCGAATGCTATTTACTCATTGAATGAGTCACCCTTCAAGTCCGGCCTGTTTACAGCCGGTGGACGTTCAGCGGCATTGAACTACTAAACGTCCCGTAAATATCATTTTTGGTGATCGATTCCAGAGGGTAATTCATGTTAGGTTGTCGCTTGCCGCTCTACGCTATAGAGTAGGTTCCTGACAACGTCGTTAGGACGGTAACCTGATCAGGAGAATACATTTTGCATACAATCAATTAAAGCGGACCCATATGTGTACCTTCTCCGTGAGTTTAGATAAATCCTAGTGAAAATTATCCGTCATCATACTAACAGTATGATCCTCGTAAAACCTTGATACCCCGTACCATACCTAATGCCTTCTACTTGATGCGACCTGTTAAACTATAACAATAACTCCGACAAACCATCACAGATGCGCCGGCCAACTATTAGAATTAGTCGTACACCAAACACCACAGGTATCACAATAATGTAGCTAAGGCAAAAAAAAAAACCTGAATTTTTTATTTTTGCTATTCTAGGAAACATGCTAAGGTTTCAGCTTTGGTTAGCTTCATTCGACCTAAGAGGAGTGAGCTGAAACACAGCAAAACCACGTTATTTGCCAGCCGTTTTTTTTACACACTGCAGTTATTAATCACTATCAAGATTCAGACTTCAGTCATTTTATGTATTTATTTTGCGACATTGTAAAGAGGGTAGCGAATAAGATAAACCTGGGATCCAACGATGATGAAAGAAAATATATTAAAAAAATGTATTTAAAACGGCTAAGTCAGCAATCAAAATCTCCACTCATGGCGTATACCACTAGGGAATCAGATTTGGAAGGGAATGGGTAAATCGTTGGCGACAAGATACGGCACGAATATGTCCTTCGTAGGTTTTTATTTCAGGGAAGCCTAGACGCAGGCAAGTCATTCTGTTTGAGCCTGAGCGCATTATGGTGGATATTAATGATCAAACTGGTTCTCCAGTGGATGATGATATCGTGTGCATTGAAATTTCCTATCTTGTGATATATTCCAATCCCCATTGTATGAGTCAAGTCAATCAATGTATGTACATTTCGATGACGTCAGCAATTTAATATTTGGCTGAGTCATCTTGGTAAGGACAATCCTTAGAAGTCTTGGATTTTTCGATTCCTTAATGTTTCCGCATTTTTTCTTCTAGTAATAAAAGATAGGTGATTAATACACAGGGCTGACTTGATCGATTCATTTGGTATCGCTGATGCCATCCAGAGACTGATACCCATTTAGGTACGCTCGCATATGATCTTTCGGTTTGTATTATATGAGGAGACCCGATGGCCAAAGCGGGTCCCTCGTTCATGACGAACC